GTGGCCAAGAAGACCAGCAGAACTAGGGAAGTGCTCGTGCCCCTGCACTTGGCACTGGTGAGGCCGCACCTTGAATACTGTGTTCAGTTTTGGGACTCTCACTACAAGAAGGACATTGAGGTGCTGGAGCGTGTCCAGAGAAAGGCAATGAAGCTGGTGAAGGGTCTGGAGCACAAGTCTTATGAGGAGCGGCTGAGGGAGCTGGGGTTGTTTAGCCTGGAGAAAAGGAGGCTCAGGGGAGACCTCATCGCACTCTACAGCTACCTGGAAGGAGGTTGTAGCGAGGTGGGTGTCGGTCTCTTCTCCCAAGTAACTGGCGAAAGGACGAGAGGAAATGGCCTCAAGTTGCGTCAGGGGAGGTTTAGATTGGATATTAGGAAAAATTTATTCACTGAAAGTGTCAAGCATTGGAACAGGCTGCCCAGGGAAGTGGTTGAGTCCCCATCCCGGGAGGTATTTGAAAGACGTGTAGATGTGGTGCTTAGGGACATGGTTTAGTGGTGGACTTGGCAGTGCTAGGTTAATGGTTGGACTCGATGATCTTAGAGGTCTTTTCCAACCTAAATGACTCTATGATTGTATGATTCTAAATATACCCTGATTTACCTTTTTATGTTTATAACTCCAATACTCTTTTTTTTAAGTGTTCATCAAATTTTCTGAAGAATTGATTGAAAAATGTCAAACAAACTGTTTCAAAAGTAGAGAATAGTAAGCTGTTTGAAAAACTGGCATCAGTAACATCTCTGATATAGTTGTATTAAAAAGCCAAAACAGGATTATAGCTTGTATGGAGTTACTTGTTCTCACTTGCATTTCCAGGGGCTCTCGTGAGAATTTGCTGAAATATAATGCATAACCAAAATATCATGGTTTTTTTTCTATTAATAATGAGAATTACTTTGTATTAAAAGTAATTAATTATTTATAAAAGCAGGAGAGAAATACATAGCTAAAATAATCATTATGTGGTGTCATGCATTGTGATGGGACACTGTTTTGCAAATCTAAGAGAAAAATCAGCAGATATAGAATATCTGCTGAGATGCTCTCACACGATTACATAACTTTATGAAAAAACAGGGCACAGCAATAATGACAACCTGAGTTCCTCTGTTTTCATTGCCATAATTGTTCTATTTTCTCATCTTTTTCTGTCCTGAGAGGTAAGACACCAGGGGGATGAAAGTGGGATTTTTCCTTCCCTCTCTTACCATTTATGTTCATCGCTTTAAGAAAGGCTTCTAGTGGCAAGACTTCTGTTTTTGAGAGGAAGTGAGGAATTATTCTGGCAGCTTTCACATGGTACTTTGACTGCTTTTCCCTTCCGGTGAAGCCTCACATGTGACAAATCTTAGAGATGATACTCCAGAGACAAGTGTAGCACCTAGCCCAGCAGGACAGGCACAACCAGTGCTGCTGTCAAATCAACACATGCATGTGTTGCCCCAAAGAGAAAGCATGCTACTGAAGAGAAATAGATGTAACTGACTAAAATCAGAGGCCTACGTGCAGTCCTTCTATTTGATGAATTTAATGTGACTCTGCAAATCCTACGCCAGTCATGAATATTTAGAAAATCAAGTCCTGAGGTTTTTCGAGGGCTAAATCTACTTCCTAAATTAAATGATGGCAAAAGTAATATACACATAATAGATATAGTTTACCTATTCAAATCAATGCTAACTTCCTACAAGTCTTGAGATTTCTTAATTAGAGACAGAATAGTTGGTATAGAAATTAATTGTGTTTTTTCTTAAAGCTTAGAGCTTTTCTATTACTACCTCAATTTTGAACGTCACAGGGAGTATTCATTTTTCATATTTAATGCCACATGTAGTACTGATGAGCTGCTACAGTCATCATTTTAGCCCTATTACAGAAATTCAATTGTTCAAGTAATTCCATTGAAATAAATGGGATCAACCAGGTAAACGATCACAAACATGACTGAAGATTCTACAGACTGTTCTCTTCTGGAATGTCTTTTCAGAAAAAAATAAAACTATTTTAGGTATGAATTAGATTGTGTGAGTCCTTATATTGGGGAGAGTTTTGTAAGGTGGAAAGTAAAGAATGTATTGTATGAAATTAGGACTTAGCTGGGACTATGGTTACATGGAAAAAGAAGACATAATATATTCCTCATTAGTGGCATGTAGCTATCAAAGGAAGATCAGATTTGCAACACAGCTAATACCCCCAAAAAGTTGTAAAATGAGGAGGAACGGATCTTCACATAGATCATCCACATAGAAATCTGCTGTTTTCTCAATAAAACCCCTTTTCCTATCTTAGGAAGCTCAGCTCTTTTGACCACTGTTCAAAGACAAAAAAATAGTAGAGTATTCACGGTAAAAGTGTGTGCTAGTAAGCCATCCTTTAGAGGTAATGGGAAAAACTTTCAATGCTGTGTACAACTTCTAAGAAATTTCTTAATAAACAACTGTTTTTTATAACTCCTGAGACACCAGAAGAAAATAATTACCCTATTGAGCAAAATTATAAAAATTAAAACACTAGGCCGGGTAAGAGAGCCTCCCTATGACTGGATGTGCACATTTCAGCAATGCACCTCCAAAGGTCCTCGTAGTGGCGCTCCATGAGCTTACTTTCTTATTTAAAAAAAAAATGTAACCAGAAGTTACAGCTGAAACATTCAAGATCATAAAAAATATACAAGTCCTACTTTTGAAAAAAAAAATTATACAAGACCTTCTTTCTACCTGTCCCCTTCAACGTGTATCAGCCAGTCTAGCAGTATGGCATGACCTGAAAGTTACATGATGAAAATGGTCCAGAACAATGGATCACAAGGGGTGTATAGCTTTCAGTATGGTTGTACCTTTGTTAGTGTAAACTGCATTATAATTCCATAGATGTCATTAAAGCTGGAACAATTTGCATCATCTAAGTATGTAGGTCCAAATGTTGGGAGACCTCAAAGTTTGCTGAGCAAGCGTTAGTCCATTCCAGAAGAAAATATAATTGAAAGAAGTGCTAAGAAACTCTCATTTACTCTCAGTTAATAATTATTTCTGCCAAAGAACAAACATACAGTCTTATTTTTATATTTGCCTAAACGACAATAGATAGACTTAAAAATATTCAGAAATTCTGTAACAATTGGTTGTAGAACATCTCAGAGCTTAAATTAATTCAATCTAGCACTCTGGGTCAAATTCTGCTTTTAAATAACTAGAAGTGCAAATGAAGATAGTAATTTTTTGCTGAATTATTTCAGTCTTTTGTCATCCTTGGTTTACCAAGCAAATACCAGGGAGAAAAAGGAAAGAAGACTTTCCTAATTCTTTCTTGTTTTTACTGCCTGCAAACCATATGTCTCTCCACTGAAGTAATGAAAATACACTGCTATAAATATAGAATGTAATAAGGGCAAAGGGAAAAAAGGTTAGACTATTCCATTTTTTCAAATTTCAGAAGGCCTTAAAATTAAATCCAAAGAATATTCATATTCTGAGGGAACTGGTTTATTTTACTTCATATTGCAACTCAACTTTTAGAGAATTAAAATTAACTGCAAACATTCCATTGGAATAAAATAAACAGAGAAAAGTGTGTCTGAAATTAGTTTTGATTAAAATAGAAAAAATATTTAAAGAAAAGGAAACAACTTTTTAACTTACCAGCTTGACCAAGTGTATACTCCTGATATCTTGTTCCTATTCTGTTTGCGGCTGTACAATTATACCGTCCAAAATCACTGTCAGATGTGGGAGCAATCTTTAAAATTAATGCAGTTTGTAAATATTAGTTTCTAATCAAATATCAAAGTTCTTTAAAAATATCAGAAATGCAAAAATGTTCTCCTTAACCAATATGCAGATGCTTTCTTACTTCAGCCTATCTAGTATATTCTCCAAATACAGATCTAAATACACCCTTTTTCATGTTAAACTCCCCCTTCTCAAATTCAAATGAGGAAATAAAATAATGGAAATTGGTGACATTGTTTATCTTTACAATTTCACTTTTAACAAGAAAAAAATCTAATAAACTTCACATTTTTTTCACGGATGCTATTTGCACAAACTGATATTTTGACTGAAATAAGCAATGAAAGGTCTGAAAATTGCTGATTCCTATCGATGATGCAAGAATAATATTTTACTTTTTATTGTTTGCAGGATTCTCAATACACCAGATATTCAGGGGGGAAAAAGAAGATGTAAGGGATGTGGCTCAGCTGTAAACTCAGGTGAATAAGGATATAAGACAGAACAGATAATAGATACTACAGGGAACTAATGCTTTATTGGAATCCAGCTTGCCTGACCAACTGTTCAGGTGACAGAAGAATGGAAGAGCACTCAGAGAACAACAGACTGTAAAGCATGTTTTGTGTCGTTAAGCTTTACTTAAAATAAAAAAAAACCCTAAAGATGACCCTCAAAGAAGAGTAAGACTGTGTCTCTCTAAATCTATATCCTCTACTACAAGAAACGAAGTTACTTGTTTGGACTTCACGAAAAAAATGTAGTTTTTTTCAGTGCACTGTACTCTTCTTGCTTGGGATCTGAAGTAGGTCCCCCACTCTGATTAGCCCTATAACTTCTCAATCTTTTTTCCCATGGCAATTGAGAAGCTTATGCTCAGACATCAGCCTGATACTAGATAGAAATGGAGAAAACTAACTTCTTCCACACCTGTGGAGGAAGACAGTATGTTGACCCTGTAACAGGTGAGACCATGGCTGGAGACACTGGTTACACTTTGTCGTGAAATTATTAAGTAAGGACCATGATTTGCTATACACTATTGCTGAGTAGTTCACTGTTTAGTCAAGTTAATAAACAGATAATTAAGGTCCACTCTTTGTCTTCTGCCTTTCTCAGGTTTTGTTCTTACACGTACCTCTTAGATGACAGAAGGGAGCTTAGTTCTTATTTTTCCAATGCCTCTGTGTGTAAACAGTTGTTACCAAAGCCAATTGCAGTTTATTATCACTTTACCCTTCTGCTTTGTTCTTGACTGAAGCCACACAAATCTTTTTGCATATACCAAGCACCTACCAGGTAGTCACTTTAATTTTTAGTATTAACCTGATGGCTTAGTTTTATATTTATTTATGTATTTATTTACTTGCAAGAAATGCAAGTTACATTTTTGTTCACTGTAGATGGAAAACTGAGCACGAGCCATACAAATGAGGTTAATTTTCTAACTGCTCACAAGAAATGTGGAGATAAATAAGTTCCTAAATAGTTTGTGGGTTTTTTTAGAGAGCTTTATTTATAAAATTATAAGTCTTATCCTTAAATGCACTCTTTAGTACTTTCAATGGTGCCAAACTGAGGAAGAAATTAACTAATGTCACCACATTGATTTCCATTTTAAGCCTTACCTCTAGAATCAGCTTTCTTCCTGTACTGTACGTCTTCAGATGTGTTGTATTTTTTACTGGTAAAACTAATTTTCCTCTTCTCCACTGAACTGAGGCAGATGGATTTGCTAGCACTTCACAGCTTATATTGATGGGATTGCCTTCCCAAGAGTAATACATGGTTTGATTTGACACAAATGTTGGAGCATCTGGAAAAAGGCAATGATACACAAATATATTAACTGTTTTAGTAAAACAAGCTGTATACCCCTATCCAAGCATTCATGTTCACATAGAAATTTCAATTGATGGCTGTATCAATTTATTACAGACCATGAAAATATCAGTATTCAACCTTGAGTTTCTTGAGCCTTTGTTTTGGTAGCTTTCTCCTCTCCTGAAACTGTTTCAGCTGAAATTGTCAGGAAAAGAATACCTGCTAATTATATTTAGCATTAGGCAACATCAGGCCCTTGAAAGATGTTATCTCAGAAATGACAACATTTCCTCTTGAGGATGAGAAACTCTATAGCCAGTCCCTTGTATGACAAAGGGAGGTGACCTATGAAACTTATATATATAATCTGTTCATTTGCTGATTTTATAGTGTCTTCTTTTGCTATGGAGAAATTATATTTACTCTCTAAATTTTCACAGATGTGTAAAAGCTTCACCCATTTCTCACTGGAACTGTCATACTTTATGAAATCTTTCTAAAAAGAGATATTTAGTTGTGTGAATAAACCTAGAAGAAAAAAATAATAAAAGAATACCTAAAATGTTGCAACGTATTCTACCTACTTCAGAAAAAAATATTGTGTATCAGTACACTATCTAGGATAATCTTTATACCAGTTCCTTATGAAATCATCGAGCTACAGACAAGCAAAAAGATGGTGTGTCTTCCTTACAAACCTGCCTATAAATGGCTATGTTAAACACATAGCCAAACACCGAGTCTGATACAGAGGAAATTGCTGGTTTGCAAACTAACAGTGATTTTCAGACCACAATGCCAGTAGTGACAAGAATTATCTATTCCACTTACTGTTTCCCTGGATAGCAGGAACAGTTTAATGGTCTCTAGAAGATGAGAGGGAGCAGCT